ACCTCTTCTTAGCCCTCACAAAATTAAGTAGGTTACAAATATTTTGTCTGTTGCTTGTTATAATTTTGTTTATATCATCTTGCTATACCAGATATTTTGTTGTAATCAAACATATCTATCTTTTCCGCCTTGCTTCCAGCATGTGATAATTTCGGATTTTCTTAGCCCAGTATCAATTTTTTCCCATCTATGTTAATTTTTTTGTAGCTTTATTTCTTGTTTTTACATTTATGCTATTTTCTATATTGTATCATTTTGGGAAGCAGTGAGATAGAAACGTGATTTTTTTATTCCAAATGGCTAACCAGCTTTAGCAACAATATTTGTAGATTGGTCCAGCCTATCAGAACCCTTTAGCTTCTGTTTCTTCAGTGGATTGAAGCAAATTTATACTGTCTGTCCATGGTTTAAGATATGCAGGCTTTTTTTATTTTTATTTTTTTTAAGATCAAGTCTTGCACTGTCGCCCAGGCTGGAGTGCAGTGCAAGTGTAGTGATCTTGGCTCACTACAAGCTCCAGATATTCAGGCTTTTTAATAACAATGATTTACAAATGGGATTAAAAGTGCTATAATTTAATAGTGTTCATGTTTTGAATAATACGATAGATTTCAAACTGACTAATACTGTAACTACTGGTATTTCCTCTAGGAGGTTTTCCAAAATGAACATCAGATTTTTTTGTAAAAGCAGATTTCTGAGTCTCATCCCTACAAAACTAAGTAAGTCTGAAGTAAGGCTCAGAATTTTTCAGTAAGCAAATTGGATGCTTTTATGTACATATTTCAGGAAACCAAACAACATTTTGAAAAGTCACAGCTTATGATAACAATCACTTTTAGAAACCTTATTGAGTTACATACATATGCATATATATGTACTTTATAAATATACATACATGTACATATGTATTTTATGTACGTATATATAGTATATATGCATACACACAAAAATGCATATACATACATACATACATATGTATCACATATGTGTATATACATATTACACAGGTATATGTACACATTACACATATGTATATGTACATATTTATACATACAAATTTATACATATATACACACATTTATATACACATATATTTATATATATGTATTGTATGTACATATGTGTAAGTGAGAGGTGACAGTGCGCTGGCAGCCCTTGCTCTCCGCACCTCTTCTCAGCACCTCCTCAGCCTCCGGCCTCCGCGTCCACTCTGGCGGCACTTGAAGAGCCCTTCAGCCCGCCACTGCAACGTGGGAGCCCCTCTCTGGGCTGGCTGAGGCCAGAGCCTCCTCCCTCTGCTTGCCTGAGGTGTGGAGGGAGAGGCACAGTCAGGAACCGGGGCTACCTGGGCAGGAACCAGGGCTGCGCGCCAGGCTCCCGGGCCAGAGTGAGTTCCAGCGGGTGCCGGCTCGGGCAGCACGGCCCCCACACACTGAGCAGCCAGCCGGCGCCGCAGGCCCATGGTAGTGAGGGGCTTAGCACCGGGGCTAGCAGCAGCGGAGGTTGCCCTGGGTCCCCCAGCAGTGCCCGGCCGGCGCTGCACTCAAATTCTCGCCAGGTTTAGCTGCTTCCCCGTGGGGCACGGCTTGGGACCTGCAGCCTGCCATGTCTGAGCTCCTCACCTGCAGTGGGCTCCCGCGCGGCCTGAGCCTCCGCGACCGCAGCTGCCCTCTACTCCATGACGCCCAGTCCCATCTACAGCCCAAGGGCTGAAGAGTGCAGGCGAGGCTAGGGACTGGCGGGCAGCTCCGCCTGCAGCCCTGGTGCAGCATCCACTGGGTGAAGTCACCTGGGCTCCTAAACTGGATGGGAACTTGGAGAACTTTTATACCTAGCTGGAGGATCGTATGTGCACCAATCAGCACTCTGTATCTAGCTAACCTAGTGGAGACTTGGAGGACTAGCACTTTGTGACTCTGCCTAGCTCTAGGATTGTAAATGCACCAATCAGCACTCTGTGTCTAGCTCAGGGTTTGTGAATACACCAATTGGTACTCTGTATCTAGCTAACCTAGTGGAGACTTGGAGGGCTAGCACTCTGTGACTCTGTATCTAGCTCAAGGATTGTAAATGCACCAATAAGCACTCTGTGTCTAGCTCAAGGTTTGTAAATACACCAATCAGTATTCTGTGTCTAGCTCAAGGTTTGTAAACGTACCAATTAGTACTCAGTATCTAGCTCAAGGTTGTAAATGTACCAATTGGTACTCTGTATCTAGCTAACTCTGTATCTAGCTAACTCTGAATCTAGCTAACTAGCACTCTGTGACTCTGTGTCTAGCTCAAGGATTCTAAACGTACCAATCCACACTCTGTCAAAACGGACCAATCAGCTCTCTGTAAAATGGACCAATCAGCAGGATGTGGGTGGGGCCAGATAAGGGAATAAAAGCAGGCTGCCGGAGCCAACCATCAACAACCCTCTGGGGTGCCCTTCCACGCTGTGGAAAGATAGTTTTTTTGGTCTTTGCATTATATCTTGTTGCTACTCATTTTTTGGGTCCACTCTGCGGTTATGAGCTGTGACACTCACTGGGAAGGGCTGCAGCTTCACTCCTAAAGCCAGCGAGACCACGAACCCCGGGCGAAGAAGGAACAACTCCAGACCCACTGCCTTTAAGAGCTGTAACACTCAACAGGAGGGTCTGCAGCTTCATTCTTTAAGTCAGTGAGACCAAGAACCCACCAATTCCGAACACATAAGTGTACATATACGCATATAAAATATAACTCAATTTGTACATATATAAATTACATATATATGATTAGAATATTGGTACATTTTTGATGCCTGAGACTCATGCAAAAAAATTCCCTTTTATTAATGAAGTATTCTGTACTTCTTGTCAGTGTCTCATCCAGTGTATGTGTTTTTATGTGTATCTGTGTGTGTATGTAATTGATTTTTCAAAGTAAGTCAGAGTATTCTTTCTTTTGGCTATTTATGCAGCTCACCCTAAATTCAAATTTTAAGTTATAAAAACAAATAGTGGCAAGACTTTAAAAGTAATGTGAGATAGTTACTCAGTTTTATTTCTAAACTGTAGGAAATGGTAAATACAATAAACTATCTCACACGAGAAAGAATCCTAAGTGTTTACAAAAAACAATTTAATTATGGTATTACCAATGTTAAAATTACCCTGAGAAGTTATTAACAATTGTAAAGATGGGCAATAAGAGTGTAATACTCCTGATTTTGAATGTACTGTTAGGGGGAATTTAAGCACAATGGATTTCTTGTAAAAATGAAAATTAATATATAAAAAAGAAAATTCCAAGCAGACTGCAATCTTTTTCAGAAACTACTTAGCATAAGCTTTATATTTCTAACATTTGAGGTTAAGCACCATTTCATACTTAATACCATTGGACTTTGAAATATAAAAAAGGTTGAAAAGTTGTACCTAGAGTAGAAAAAAACTTAGGAGTATGAAACATATTTTAGAAAGATAGATTTAATTTAACATTTAAAAACAGGTGCTATAGTCATTAAAAGATATATATTACTTAAATCAGGGTCTTTTACTTTTTCACTTCAGAAAATCTGGTGCTATGTAGATATGTAGAATACATATCCAAAGAGGTCAAAAGGGTTTTCTTTCTTTCTTAAATATGTAACATATAAACATATATGTGATTTCCAGGCAAAAGTTAGGTTTAATGAAAAGAGAGCTACATTTTATGGTTCATGACAACTATTATTTATTTCCAGAACACAACTGTCAAAGCAAATGCACTTCTTGCTGTGTTTTTTGGTGTTTTGTTTTTGTTTTTGATTTTTGTAGAGACAAGGTCTCTCTATGTTGCTAGGGCTGGTCTTGAACTCCTGGGCTCAAGAGATTCTCCCTCCTTGATCTCACAAAGTGTTGAGATTAGATCTTGCCAAGACTAGGCCTTTGTTTTGTTTCGTTCGCAATAAATTAATGAATCTTTCCCATCCAAGTTCACTTAATGTATAAAACAAATTTGGTCAAGGTCTCATTTTGCATTAGCTTTGGATTGTGCCACAAAACTCTTAACATTTTCTTTGAAAGAAGTAAGTTTGGATCTTTCTTAAATCAGCAAGTTGGACATGATATAAGTAAGTCCCTTAAAAATAGAAGGCAAAAGTGAACAAAGTTTTCTAAGGCAGAAAAGTACATCCCATATTATCTTTCTATTATAGAACTATAGTAATTCAAAAGTAAGACTTCAGTCAAAATATTTATTATTTTCCTTAATTGGCTTAAATGGTAATGCAAATATTGTGAGTCTGCCTTAAGTTTCTTAGATATTATACTTTAAATGTCCCAACCCTTATACAAAACCATACACGACCTAGTGTCTTTCACAATTCATACTATAGAAGCTCAGATTTAATTGTATATGCTTTGAAATACATTCTCTCCTTGACCATTGCTATCACAAACTTGAGAAAGAATTGCAACCATCATATCACATAGGCCTTCAGTTATGAACATAAACAGGAAAAAGAGAAGAGAGAAAGGACTAGGGAGAGAAAAGAAGAAATGCTCATTTATATAGTTTCCAAGGGGTAGTAACCATATCCAGAGGGAAACATCCATAATACAGATGTGCTGTGAGTACTTTTTCAGTCATTAAGGTCATTTTAATATATTTAAGAAGAGTGACCACATGCCACACCAGCTATGAATGGGTAAATTATATGTAAGGAAAATAATTTTACACAAAATTTCAAAAGATTTGTCTTGTTTTAAGAGGTTCTCACTCTGTTGCTCAGGCTGGAGTGCCGTGGTACAATCATAGCTCACTGTGACCTCAAACTCCTGGGCTCAAGTGATCTTCCTGCCTCACCTTCTTAAAGTGCTGGGATTATAGGCATGAGCCACCATGCCTGGCCTTTCCAAAGTTTTGAATAGAAAATTGCTAAAGAGAAACCTCAAGCCTTTGTAGCTAATAGAATCTAAAACCCCCCCTAAAAAGTGAGGATACAATAAGATGGCAAAAATATAGACTCAAAATGACCATAAGACTGGAGGTAACATTTTATTACCACCCCAGCACTTACATTAAAAGCTACAACTTGGAAGGCTTACCAAATCCTAAGGAACTGTCATATAAAAAGATGTTTAAAAGGATGTAAACATTATCTTCCATATGATGGCAACAATGACAAAAGCCTAATTGTCATCTGTTAAGTTACAGAGCCACTGGCAGGGATACTTCTCCCAAAGTTCCATTTTCAAATAAGTGCAGGCACTCAGTGGTGCTGCCTTTTGAAGTGCCACCTGTGGGAAGACTCACAGCTAACATGACACCCATAACCCATTCTCAGGAACTTCTTCAGAGCTGAGGCACACACGAGAGAAGCAGAAGCCCTATCAGCAACACTGGGATTTGCTCTCTGCTCTCAAGGTCTCTTGATCTAGCTTAATTTTGCCCACATCGTTTTCTTCATTAGGAAAGCTTTGGTGGTTTGCAAGAATCTTCTCCACTAGGAACCGGGCAGCTTCCTCTATATTTATGTTATCCTGTAATGCAGAAAGGAAGAACAGGGTTAAATTTTAGAATTAATTCCTAGAATAAGGCATTAACAGTAGGAATGGGACCAGAAAAATTTGTTAGAGGTGGCATTGCAAGTGCACAGCTACTTTCCTCTAATCCTAAAGTGTGTGCCCACTTAGAGCTGAATGTTAAAGAATAATGTGGTGATGGAAAGAATTCCCTTATTTTTATGAAGGACACCTTTTTTGATGTTCCTATCTTAAACCTTTGCCACTGAGGTTCAATGAGCTATCTGGATAGTTGAAAATGAATCTTTGCTCTGGGCTGCAATTCATATAATGAAGCCATTCCAAATAAAAAAAATTCCGGCCCTTGAATATCTAATTCAAGCAGTCAGGATACACTGTGAAAAAAAATGGAAAGGGCTCAAACCACATTAAAATATGATAAATGTATCATGTCACTTCTCCATCTCTAAGTACAAATTATTCCTTTTAGTTGTCATGTATAAATTAGCCTGAAACAATGTTGTCAGTGCAACGTCCATTAAGGACACCCTAAGGAATTATTAGCTGTTACAGCATTTGTGTGACTGAATTATAAGTTATCATTAAACACACAGTAAGTAACACATTGAAAAAACTGTGCTTATTTTAAAAAATATTTAACTGTTCATTTTTAAATAATTTCAGATTCACTAAAATATTGCAAAAATAGTGAACATTCCTACCATTCACACATATTTCTCAAATATTAACATCTTAGATAACCAGAATACAACTATCAAAATCAGGAAATTATACAATAGTGTAGTATCAGTGTTAGTCTAACAAGCTTACTCAAATTGGGTCAATTATTTCAATGCCCTATTTCAGATGTAGGATCACAGGCTGTACTTCACTGTTGTCGCCCCGGGGTCTCTTTTACTCTGGAACAGTTCCTCAGTCTCCTTGCTTTTCATGACCTTGACACTCTCAGAGAGCACTGGCTGGTGAATATACCTCCATCTGCGATGTCTGATGTTTCCTTATCATTAAATTCAACTTAATATACTTTTGGCAGAAATAAAACACAAGTGATGTACCCTGCACAGTTTATCAGGAAGCACACTGCTTAAAGTTGTTTTTGCCAGGTTTCTCCACAGAAAAGTTATTATTTTTCCCTTTGTACTTAGTGCAAATATGTCAATATCCTGTTTCTTACCACACTTTCCCCCACTAATGTTAGCATCAATTAATTCCTCCCTACAACAGTCATCACTGTGGTGTTTAATGGTGACTTTTTATTTCTGCCATTCCTTCTACATTTATTAGCTGGAATTCTACTGTTAGAAAGAGGTTCCTTTCTCCCTCATTTATTTATTCATTTGTTCATTTCTATCATGGATTATTAGTTTACTCTGTAAGTTGAACCCATTACAGAAATTATTTACTTTGTTGCTCAAATTGTCTTACATGTTTGGAGCTTGTATGGCAGTATCCTGTATCTTTGTGACATGTCCCTATCATTTCGTGAATACTTCCTTAGTTTCTCACACAACAAAATATCACAGGCACATCTTTACTTTCCTTGTCCCACCCGCCCTGAAATCAGGCATTACTCCAGGGATTCCCATTCTTTTTACTGGAGAATGATATTTAAAAACCGAATTTTGAGCACTCGGTAAGTTAATTGGTTCTGTGGTGTCATTGCTTTTAAGCCCTCTTAGCAGGTATGGCTAGTATGGTACACACATGCATCTATATCAACTTCATCTGTTTACACATATGTGTGTGTACATACATACACCTACACACATTCTCACATATATATGCAGATACACACACACACACAAACACACATATGAAACCTGAGGCTCATATTAATGTCTAATCCAATCCAATGCTACAAGGTTCACTGCAGCCTTTTTCCTTATCTGTAAAGCCTTTATCAGACAAGGAACCTAAAAGAGCTAGGCTACGTACAGGCATCTTTCACAGCACTGAAACCAGCTTTTTAGTTATTTTTTGCCTCCACCCCCAAGATAAGTGTTAACTTTAATTCAAGTATTGATCTTTTGAACGTCCAAGTGACATCCAGTCTCAGCTATCTCCATTATAGCAAATAATTATAAAATTCTCTAACTGTATGTGGAAGCAACTGGTTAAAATTCCAATGTCAGTGTAGTCACATGTTAATGTAATTCCCATATGTTAACATTATTAAAGTTTTATATTAGAAATCCATTATTTGCCATAAAGGTGAAATGATGAAATGTATTTGCAAAAGTTATCTTTTGCCTGTATTCCTAGTGAAATTCAGATGACTGCAGTTCAAGCAAAAGTCAGATCTGAAGTCAGCTGCTGGCCAGCTCAGAAGTGTACCTACTAGTGACATTTAGGCAGTACTTTAAGCCTTAAATCTAAGATTTTTAACCTAATTTTTTTATTACTGTTATTCTCTTGGAACACCCCTGGTTTAGTGCTAAAGAAATTCTACAGAAGCCGCTTCTACTATATTTGTAGGGAAACACAGAGCAAATTTGAAACTTTTAAACAGTGCTTCACCTTTCACCTCTGCATGTAATCCTATCCATAAATAAAATGAAACCGATGACTTACACAGTCACAAGCTACTAGTCACGTGACGTCTTACATCTGGGGGCAAATCTGGATTTATTACCCAAAAGATTAAATGAAGCCTAAAGGAGAATTTTGTCTACAATTTATGAAACTCCTCTACCAAAATGCACACTCGCATAAGCAGTTACATTTACTGCGTTTTTTGTTTTTTTTTTTTTTTGGTCTTTTTACAGCAAAGCTGGGAAGCAGAGCAAATCACCCAATAGGCATACAGAGCAGACAGAGGGCATGAGTGTCCAGAAGAACATGTCTGTAATCCTAGCACTTTGGGGGGTTGAGGTGGGCAGATTGCTCCAGCTCAGCAGTTCGAGTCCAGCCTGGGCAACATGGCAAAACTCTGTCTCTACCAAAAATACAAAAAGTAGCTGGGCATGGTGGCACATGCCTGTGGTCCTAGCTTCTTGGGAGGCTGGGGTACCTTCTCTGTAAGAAGGCTTTCTTTCTGTGATTTTCTTCTTCATGTCAGGTTAAGTGCTCACATAGCACCCCTGGGTTTCATCTTTCTTCTACCACTGTTTCATTTAAAGAAGGAAATTTTAAGATGCTATATTTATTCAAACAATTAGCCTCTAGCTTAGGAGTCTACATTTCTGCCTCCCGTAAATAGTCTTTTTTTTTTCCCAGTCACTCCATCATTGCTCAATATTTTTGGAGCAGTCTCTCTTTTGCACAGTCTCTCATTGCTTTGCTTTTATCCCGCAGATCATGATGGGCATCAAGTAGTTTTTTTACTCTAAGGGTAAGTTTCTAATAGAGCTAAACCTAATCTGATAATAAATACCCAGAGTGAGGTGGGTGATTTGGAGGAACAGTGATACATACATACGTGCAAACGTATATAAAAACACACATAAACACACACATGAAATCCACAGAACATAAACTAAAAGCTAGAACTGTGTTAAGATTTCAACAAATTTATGGTATAACGTTTATCTGTCATTACAGAATTTTTCAAACATTTCATCATTCTTACATAAATCGGACTGTCACTAACCCCCTTATATGAAACTTCTAATGCATGCAACTCCCCCTCCAAACATTTCATATATGTATTATTTTCACCTTTTTTCTATATCCAGACTGTTAAGAATTTTTTTTTTTTTTTTTTTTTTTTGAGACAGAGTTTCACTCTTCTTGGCCAGGCTGGAGTGCAATGGCACTATCTTGGCTCACTGCAACCTCTGCCTCCCAGACTCAAGTGATCATCCCGCCTCAGCCTCCCGAGAAGCTAGGACGACAGGCATGCACCACCATGCTCAGCTACTTTTTGTATTTTTTGGTAGAGACAGGATTTTGCCATGTTGCCCAGGCTGGTCTCGAACTCCCAGTTCGAGTGATCTGCCCAATCCGCCCGCCTCAGCCTCCCAGAGTGCTAGGAAACAGGCAGGAGCCACCATGCCCAGTCACTAGACTGTTAAAATTTTTGAAAGCCAACTTACTGTTTTATTTTTTCCTTCAGAAAATATTTTATTCAGCTTTCCATAATCGACAAAAGAAAAAATTCTCACTCTACTATTTATGAAGCATACCACAAATGTTGATACTTTCCAGCTGTTTCAAATCTTTCATACACAGTTAACCTAAAACTCTTCAAACATCATCTGAATAAATCTCCTCTCTGATCTTTTCACATGGTCCTGCATGTGACACACATCTTCACCAGAGGCATCTTCCTATTCATTTAGCCTTTTGCAAAAATCAAAAATTCTTGTGCTTGACAATACCCCCATCCACTCCAGTTGCATGAGAAGTACCTCAGTTAAAAACTCAGACTCACAGAAAATGTCATTTGCTTTTTGCTCTAAATACCTCTTTTTGTTTTTATGGAAAATCCGGCCTTCTATTAGCCATTAGCCAATTTGGAAAGCAGTACTGTTGTGGACTGAAAGAAGCTATAACACATCCATGCTACACTTCTCATTTTCCAGACTTTCAAACACCACTCACATAAATACATCTAAATACTTTAGCGTAACAGCCTAGATTTATGAGCTAGAAAGCAAAAGATACATAAGCAAAGCAGATCTCACCTTTGCAGAAGTTTCAAACCATCCGGCGAAGCCATGTTCTTTGCAGAACTGGTCCATCTGGGAAGGAGTCTGGCTACTGTCCTTGTTCTGGTCACATTTGTTAGCCAAGAGGACGGCAGGGATAGGGCTGCCATTTGGAAGATGAACTTTACTATCCAGATCACTTTTCCATTTTAAGACTGCCTCAAATGTAGAACTTCTTGATATATCAAAGACTACAAAAGCACCAACAGCTTCCTTGTAGTATACTCGGGTCATGTTGCCAAATCGCTCCTGCCCTAGACATAAATATAGGAAAAAAATAAAAACTTGTAATTCAGACAGAGTTTACATTTAAGTATAACTCCTTTTACCCAACAGCAATACTATGAACAAATATCTTCCATTCCATAGCAGCATAACCTGGTGTGATTAAGGCTATCCATACAGACGATGACCTATATAGCAGATGTGTCTGATAATTTGGTTTAAGTACATAATGAATTAGTTTTATGTTCTGTATGACATATTCTCCATAAAACCAATATGATAATATTTAAAGCTACAAAGTCTGTCATTTACTCCAACTCCTCTCCCCTTAGTTTAAGAGAAGAGAGGCACTAAAGGAAAACACAAAGCTGGAAGTAGAGGAAGAAGAGACAAGAATAGAAGAAATGAAGCCTGTAGGAAGGAGATAAGTGCAGTGGGTAACATGCTAGTCCAATAGATTAAGGCTCGACATGAGATAAAGTAGCTCATGTTCTCAACTCATCTCTCCTTCATATCTCTAGCCCATACCCACTTCTGATGCAATATGCAAGATTTCACCCCTGTAAGTAGCAGACATATGAAAATCTATTTTAGAACAAAAAGCACAACTGGTTTTGTTGTTACAAGAAGAATCAATTCCAGGGTTCTTCAAATATCATTGTACTTATAAAATAATTTAACTTATGTCAAACACTTTGGGAAAAATCTGCTTTGTACATTACATGGGACTTTGCAAAGCATTCTCTTACTATCTGCTGTTGTACTAATCTTTGGCATAGGAAAATCCTTCTTTTCGTCTGACAGATGTAACAACAGGCAAAGGGATGCTTGGCCAGGATTACAGTATCACTGACTAAAGAAGACAGGACTAGAATTCAGGTCTTCTGACTCCCCCACACCTATAGAAGTGGGATGCTAGCCTTTCTGAACTATCTTGCAGTTGCCTTGACTTAGTTACTGACTACAGTGTGAAGGAAAAATGATTGGCAATCAATGCACATCGGAGATGTATCACTCTGTTCTATGATAAAGACACTTTCCTCTTGAAACACATGAGCAACCGGCTTTATCTACATTTTATTGATACATTTTATCTGCACAGATGCAAAGATACCCCAAAATATAAAATTCTTCCTTCTCCAAACTCTACAATGCAATATAATTTTATATATTGTTTTAGGGAATAATGGAAGAATAAAACAATGGCCAAATGTGAATGGATAAAGTTAAGGTTTGTTTTGTGATGACTCCTCATACGGTTTAACTGAAGCTGTATTGTAATAGTCCAAAGGTCTAAATTTTACTGTAACAAATGGTCACATAAAAAACCCTAATATTATGTTCATATATTATTGTAATGTAAATCTGACCAACTATATAGTTCATTGGCTCATAATGCTGACATTTATAAAAATTTCGATGATATGCCAACTGTTCAAAATCACTATTCTGCAGAAAGACTACATACGCATTGAAATGATTCAGATTCCAATTTCAAATGCAGTGCACACATTACCAACCACTTCCATTTTCATATATTTTAATTATTGAATATGAAAGGACTAAGCAACAAGATAAGATAGTCTTAAATTAGGAAATTGAAAAAGTAAGATTTCAAGATAATTACATGGTAATAAAGTATTCCTTTGGGCTATATCTTTAATTTAGAAAAGAGAGTGGGGTGTCAAACTAGTAAAAGAGCAGTCAGAAACCTAGAAGTTAACAAAGAGCTGTTAAACTTTAGTGACTATTTTTTTGGGGGGAGGAGGGGAATGATCTTTAAATTTCAAGTATTTCCTTTTACTAGTGAGTCTTATTTAAATATTTACTCATATAACCTTTCTGGTAAAGCATAAGAAAATCAGAAATGTTTATGACAAGTAATTTAAAAGAAGATCCTGTGGCTTAAAAATATTAATTTTCTTTAGTTCCCAAGATTAGGATTCAAAATTTGGTGGCAGTCCTGACATCAGAGTGTACTTTTTAAACAACCACACTATATGGCAAATCAAAAGTGTCAATTACTTGGTTAAGTAAGTGAAAACAAAAGGCAATGGCTGGGAGAAAAAATGCAAACTGTTTATCTGACAAAGGGCTTATACCCAGAATATATAAACTCTCAAGACTCCCAAAGAAGAAGATAAAAAAATTAATAATGTAAGCAAAAGATTGGAACAGTTTGCCAGAAAATGTATGTGATGAAAAAAAAAAAATAAGCACAGGAAAAGATGTTCAACATCATTAGTCACTGGGGAAATGCAAATTTAAATCACACTTGACACTTCACTCCCACAGGAATGGCTAAAATTAAGAAGTCTGAATACACCAAGTGTTGACCAGGATGTGGACAACTTGAACTCTCCAAGTCACTTTCATTATGTTCACAGATGCCAAATCAAATGTCAATCAACAGATTAATGGATAAACTATCATCTAGTTATACAACGAAATACAGCTCAACAATAGAAAGGAAAGGAACAAAACCATGGATACAAGCAAAAACATGAATGTATCTCAAAATCATTATGCTTTGTAAAAGAAGCCAGGTCAGAGCGCAAGTGGGTAATGTTACATGAGTTCATTCATATCAAATTGTAAAAAGTGCAAACTATGACAATACAGTAAGAGAAAGCAGATAAATGGTTGCCTTGGGAAAGGCAGGGTATATATTCCAAAGGTACAAGAGAAAAACACTTTTGTGATGATGAAAATATTTGAAATATTGACTACAGTGATGCAAAAACTTTTCAAATTGTACTGCTTATAGTATGTCAATTATACCTCCATAAAAGTATACAAAATAATACCTCCCTTCGAGGGTAACTGAGAGGGTTAAACTTAGTCCCTGCCTAAGTCTTCCAGGGCAGTTTGATGAACTACAGCCAATGACCTAATCCAGCTAAAAAAGATTTTACTGGAATTCAGTTACCCTTATTTGTTTACATGTTGTCTATGTCTGTTTTTGTCCTACGATGGCAGAGTTGAATAGTGGCCACATACATGAAATGGCCTACAAAACCTAAAATATTTGTCAGGCCCTTTATAGAAAACGTAGCTGATTTCTGTTTTAGAAGGCTAAGAATATTTTGTATCTTGAAGTGGAGGTGGTCTATGCATGTTAAGTTATACTTCAAGTTCAAAACAGTGTAAAATGCCAGGTAAGCCCTGCATAAATGTCAGCTATTATTGAGTGCTCCACAAGTTTACCGCATGATGAAAGCCTGAGTATTCTTTTTAAAAATGGTGCCAATTAAACATGTGAAAGCTTTAAACTATTAGCTCGTTAGGTGCTCTACCTTGTAATTGTAAAAATGGTTTGCAGAGAAAAACAAACTTGATAAAAGTCTAACTATGCCAGGGATTCAAAATGCTAAGTACCCAACATTCAAGCAACCTCAGGCAAGAAACTTTTTTGGCTTAACTATGCCAACTGGTCTCAGGGATCTGTAGGGATCACTAAGTCCTCCTGGCTCTAACATTGATATTTTAGGTTCCCGTATTATAATTTGAATGTTATACCGATTTTCTATATATTCTATAATCACTGAATCCAGACAGCAATGGGAATAAAATGTAAATAACCCAGCATCAAAAGGCCAATACCATGTATGTAGGGAAACAGTTTGTTTTCTAAAACAATAGCAAAATATACTTTCTATTTTAATGAATTTGTAATCTCTTTTTAATAAATTCTTAATTAATCCATTAATGCTTCAGAAATGGTAAAGCAAGTTAAAAAACAAAAATTTCCAAAACACATGAAGTTTAATTAGGGAGTGGGAAAAGATAAGATGAATTTAAAATAATAATTGTAACATAAAATTAAGGGTTGCTCTCCAAAAACCTAAGTAGGTGTAACCTATATTTATATTTAACTATGTTGCTTCAAAGATTTACAGCACATAGATATGCTAAGTTCCTCCAGTTGTAAAACTAACTTAAATCATGTACAAAGTATCTTCTTTGCTCATCTACCACCTTTTGAAACCCAGATTAAATAAATCTGTAAAATAAAAGAGTAACAAAACTGAATGAAGAAAAAAATAGGAAAACCACTGCAGATGATGCTTAAGAAAAATATCAGGATAAAAGTGAGTGAAAATCATGGGGAAGAGGAGAATACATGGGCATCTGTTAGTTAGAAAGACTTTGTTGGAGCCTTAAACTAAACCCTTGCCATCCATTTATTTTCACATTGGTCTGTCTTTCTCAAGGTCCGTGAAAGAACAGTGAAAAGACTAGATGTTTATAGCCTACTCAACTATTAAAAAGCACAAAAAACTTTTGAAAATACAATTGAATAGAATTCTAAAACAACTTTACCTTGCTCTTTTGTCTCACCCTCCAGAAGTCTCCCCAAATTTGTATCTATGCACTTCTTTCACCATCCAAGAGAAGAGCTCTACAAACCTAAGACAACTTAAACTTGTGGACGTGGCCCACTACTTAAGTGTTGATTTAGTGTGAAATCCTTATTATTTTAAGGAAATACTTAATCTGAGATCTTCAAATTTTCCTTCTTTGGAAGAGTACTTTAATCTCTCAATCTTTAGTAAGTGCCTAGGAATACGTATTAATGGTGTTTTTTCTACACTTTATGACGTTTTGACAACTTGGGGCATTGCAGGCCTGGGGAGGGACTGATCCTCCCACGGGTAGCTAATTTCTAGAGACAGCAAAGGAGCTATCTTGGAGCATACCTCTGACATGCACACCATATCAGTCAGCCCATCAATCCTAAATCCATACCACCTGCCTCCTTGCACCAGGATCCTGCAGTCTGGGACACTATCCCCTGTCCCAAATCACCCCACAGCCCAATACTGGACAACTAGAGACTACTACTATCACCCAGAGTACACCAAAATTATTCAAACTAGCCAATCCTCAACTTGCTCAGCTTGCCTACCCTACCTCACTGGTTCCTTCCTGCAAAAGCCACAGTAAAAGCTCCAGCTCATGCATTTTCCTTGCTCCTTCTTTCTCATGACCAACCCTGCTGCTTTTCCCTGTGGCCTCATGTGGTGTGGCATAATGTGCCCCCACTCTTGGGAACTATGATAAACTATCTTTCCAATGGTAATCCATCTCCTGATCTGATGTCCCCATCATATCTGACTAAAAACAAAATCCTGGGTACATTTATTACAGAATGAGACTTGCTGAAAATTTCATATCAAAAGCTTAAGAAAATTGGAAGGTCAAGATAACATACACATGACTAATTTCATGATAACCAGAACATTTGGAAATTTTGAAAAGTATTTGTGATGCTGTTTTGACACCAATAAACCAAAATTCTGCTATCCTTTTAAAAGTGTATTGCTTTCATATGTGAGTCATGAAACCTGTCTCCACACAAGTTACTATACCTTTCTGTGTTTAGATTACAGAACCACTAAAACCTATAATTCATTCAACTCAAAAGGTAGAATGGCAAATGGCTGAGAGCAAATGAAAGTTGTAGAACTTCCTATCAGTGCTCTACTATCTCTACTAATAACCTGAGCATCTTTTAGCTTATGAGGGCTAATTGAGGCAATGAAGGATGGTAACACATTCAAAAGGGAAGGGCAATAGGACTGCCATTATCAGGGGAATTTCCATGTGCAGTAATACAAATATGTTATTATGCTGACCAGCTGCCTGCCTGGACAATTGTGAATGGATAGCCCAGACTGCGGCACTCAAAGGTGTCTCAGGACTCAGGAAGAGTGAAAGATTTACAGATGTAAATGGGCCAGTTGGCTTCGCTTATAATTCAGCACAACAATTGAGCTTGAATAAGGCTGAGGATGGCAAGATTGTACAAGAGCCAGATTACCCATATGTAACAAAGATTTTAAAAAGCCTTGTAAATGACTTGGTATGTAATCAGCCACCAATAAACACTGGAAACTTAACTGCAGTATCTGTGTTTAAGATGGAGACTACAAATAATTACACAGACTAATTCCTCAAAGCATGGCTTCTTTATAATTAGAAATATGTGTATATGTGACTGAAAACTACCTTTAAAATCAGGAAAGTATCAAGAGGTAATATTCCAGATTCTTGCTCATGAAGGATTATAGGAGAGTTATGAAAAAAAAGACAAAGGGAGATTACTAGGTATACTAACTGACAAAGTATAAGATGGAGCAAGGCAATCAGGATCCACGTTCTATTTTGGATGGGAATCAAAATGATGGAAAATAAGTTTAGGCATAGATTATACAGTTTATATCTTCCAAGCATGCATTTTATGCTTGGGTAAATATCATTTATATGAATTCAGTTACGTTTTGAGCAGCAGTCCCAAAGCATGTGTGAGTTAAGAGACTGCAATGGTCTTACACAAAAACTGCACTAAACTGCATCTGTATTTTAAAGCCAGATTCCTTCAATGCCGTAAGAACACATTCATGTATCCGAGGATCACAATGGTTCTTAACTTGAAGAGTTCAACTGAATCTGCTTGGCTACATGTATAGAAAACATTTGATAATTCCAGTCTATCGTACTTGCCAAAGCTTTCAAGGATAGAGATTTGTCATAATTTCTTTACTATCTTGCCCTCTCACTAAAGCAACCAAAAAAAAAAAAAAAAAAAAGACCTAACTAGTAAAAACACCACACCTTAACTTAGTTATGGCAAGTAACTGGCTCTACCTACTATTTTGTAATCAAAGAATATTTCTATTATTTGAGAATTAAATATGATCCAACTTTGTTACTACATAAGGCAAGTATGCTTAGCCATGGGGGAAGTTTGTGGAGCAGCCTTCACTTTGCCTTCATGACATCATCATTACTTAATTCAAATGGTATGAGCTGAGATTCACTAGTAGCTCAAATATTCAAACCAAACAGTTAGTAATACAGTTCTCCAAACTTTAGGCTAAGGTTTTTTTGTTTTGCTTTTTTGGGTCTCTAAAATAGTTTTTTTGTTTGTTTTTTGGTCTCTCACTAAGCTATTTTTCTCCCTCACTTTCCTTATACTAAAATTCTATCTCTGAAAATCTTACTTATAATGTGAGCCTAATCATTTCTATAAATTTGCCTCTAATTTTGTAAATTGCTGGTCTGTACTTGCTGTATGGGACAACAATACTTGTTGAAACAATATCTAACATCCAGAAATCCCTTTTGGAGATCTTAAACTTCTGTTTTCCTTCCTGGTAAAACTCAAGCTTTGGATTTAGTGAAAAGTGCAAGGATATTCCATCTAGGCAGACGTATCAGAATCTGACAAAAACTGGATATGACCCCTTCCTGTCATTCGAGGTCTGTGATTAATAAAAAAAGAAGAGGTGATACCAGAAAGAAAATTTATATCTTACTCCTGCTTTTACTTTCTCAAGTCTCTAACTATAAACTCTTAAAAATCTAGTTACTCATACTAATTTACTAGCAGTAGGACCCAATTATCATCTAATAACAAAATGCCATAATTTACGTAAAGAGTAAGGCAAGGTCAATCACCCTTCTAAGCAAAGTTTTAAACCATCTTTGTGAAAATCCTCAGCTATGCTGCAGATTCCTGGAGAATGACCGTCACATGGTAAGGCAACCTTTAGAATCCATGACTTTGTCAAGAAGCAGAAATACTGCTCATTAGGGTTCTGTGCAACAGCAGGAAGTATTTCGAAAAAGTCTCTGGCTTCAAAGATGACTTTTCAAACGAACTTTTGGCTTTTGGTAACAAACAACAACAAAAAGCTGAGTCCCCGGCTGATTACTCCTTTTCTCTGAGGGACTGAGATGCATACATGTATTCTCCTATCTGAGGGAGAGAAATGTGCTCTTAAATGAATGAGTTATAGGTTACAATTATTTAATACTCTTTGTTAAGTAACAAGCTATAAATGACAAGAGCACTACCTGGCAGACAGACAGTAGACCTGTGATCCGCACCCCCCAACTCTGCTATCAGCCAGGTAGCTATACCCTCTATGGGCTTCTATGGACTGTAGAATGAAGGGTGGCCTCGGGCATCCTCTAACCCTAAACCAGCTCCCATTCTAATGCTCTATTGCAGACTGAGCTTCTTAACACCTGTAATGATTGAACAGAGTAATTTTGGCACTTTATTTATTTATTTATTTTTTCCGAGATAGGGTCTCACTCTGTTGACCAGGCTGGGGTACAGTGGCGAGAACACAGCTCACCGAAGCCTTGACCTCTCTTAGGCTCAAGTGATCCTCCTGCCTCAGGCTCCTGAGTAGCTGGGACTACAGGCACGCATGACCACGCCTGGTTAATTTTTTGTATGTATGTATGTTGTAGAGACAGGGTCTCACTAACAGCCCAGGCAGGTCTCGAACTCCTGTGCTCACGGGATCCTCCAGCCTAGGCCTTCCAAAGTGCTGGGATTACAAGCGTGAGCCACTGGCGCTTGGTTTGGTACCATTTCTATGAACTTTCCAATAGTTAACATCATCTTAAAACGCCCACTCCCAACCACTACACCAGGCAAAGTTCCAGTGTTCATAAATCAGAGCAGAGGGAAATGTACCCCCTCAAACAGAACAAGTGAAAGCAAATGGCAGAGAAACAGTGTATTGAGGAGTGACGGGGGCGAGGGCACCAGGGATGGGACTAGGTGTTGGTTTAGGAAGAGAGGAAGAGGTGAGCATAAAGTTTCAGAAAAGCTTTCCCAAATCTTCACGGAGTGTCTGTCCTGGGCTTCCGAGGAGAGCAAAGTATTTGAGGAATGGAGTTTCCCTCACAAAGGCCAGTCTCAGAGCCAAGGCGGGTGATGGAAAATGATCTGGAAATGAACCTGACTTTTGGTCTTGGTGGTGTCGCTAACTAGGAGTGCAGCTTCAGGTAAGTCACCCAATCCCTCTGAACTTGAGTTGAGGCTGAGAGGCGCCGGCCCGCTTCAAGTCAGCCTTCCCAACTAGTCCTGGTGTATCTATGATACACTTGCATTATTCAGAGTTCAAACTTCTGGAAAAGGCCCCCTGGCCTCCTCGCCTCCCTCTGGCGTGCAAGACCTGCTCCAGCTCCTACTGCCCATCCCATCCTCCGGGCCCCACCGAGTCCAGCCGACCGCGTCCATCGCATCTCGCCCTTGGATTCGGCCTCTCTCTTCTAAACGTACCCAGGCAGACGAGTTCAGGCAGAGAAGAAAAAGTAAAGAGGCAGAGAGGAGCCGGGCGGCCCGGCTGGGCTCTGGAGTGGGAAACTAGCGGCCGCGCTTACCCGCGATGTCCCACAGCTGCAGGCGCACCAGAGTCCTGCTGTCCCAGTTGAGGACCTTGAGGGCGAAGTCCACCCCGATGGTGGCCCGGTAGTGCTGCGAGAAGAGCTGGTGGACGTAGCGCTTGATGATGCTGGTCTTGCCCACTCCAAGCTCGCCGATAACCAGCACCTTGAAGAGGTGCTCGCGGGTCTCGGGCGCCGGGGCGGCAGCCGCCCCCAGGCC